AGCTGCCAAGCTGGTTTGATTTTTATTTCTCACAGTATTTTTATGTCATTCCTTGTCAGGTGATATCATCCCCCCAGATTCCATCCTTCACTTTGATGTGTTGATGTTGGACATTTGGAACACAGAGGACAAAGTGCAGATAAAGACCTACCACAAGCCAGAGAGCTGTGTCCGCACTGTACAAGTGTCTGATTATGTCCGTTACCACTACAATGGTACTCTGCTCAATGGCACGCTGTTCGACTCCAGGTGAGATGAGTCATGTGGACCTCAAAAATAGATAGATAGATATTTTTTGTAACTCACATTTTATATTGAATAACTTTTATTAAACTTTTTTTTTTCTATGCCAACAACAATAGTTCCATAGCCGCCGTGTTACAACAGCGAGGGAATGATCGGATGTTTATGAACAAATCAGTTAGCCCAATGATTTAATGACTCATTCATTTGAAGTTATATTAATCAGCCTTTTTTGAACAATTCCTTTGAATGAAGTCGTCAAATGACTCATATAGACTTTCACATGTCACCACCTACTGGTGTAACCATGTAACATCCAGGAAGAGCCACAAAAAATCCCTATCACTAATGACAGCCTGTAACAGAGGTTTATTTGTTTATTTAAATAAAAAAACGATAAAAAATAAATAAATAATAGGATTACAATAAATAGAATTTAAAAATTGATTACAATTAATAAATAAAAAAAATAGATTAAAATACATAATTAGTACATCTAACCGTAATATACTGAGTATAAAAATAATAATATAAGTTAGAAACAAAACCTTTTTCAAAAAATATTTGACACATATTTATAATATTATTTTTTTATAGAATTAACAGTGAACGTATTTTTGAATTTTATGCATTTCCCGATTAGTAATTCTGATTCTTTCATTTGCAGTCACACGCGTTTGCGCACCTATGACACTTACGTGGGAATTGGCTGGCTCATTGCGGGAATGGACCAGGGGCTTTTGGGAATGTGTCTAGGAGAAAAACGTATCATCACCATGCCACCTTTCCTTGGCTATGGAGAGAATGGGGATGGTGAGAGTCATTTTATTAGTAATATATACTAACAGTGCATGCAAAATAAGCATTACAACATCTCCACTCACAGGAAGTGACATCCCCGGTCAAGCCTCTCTGGTGTTTGATGTGATTCTGCTGGACCTTCATAACCCCAAAGATGAAATCACAGTAGAAGTGCAAAGCCTTCCAGATCACTGTCCACGCAAGAGTGAAGTAGGAGACTTCGTGCGTTACCATTATAATGGATCCCTGTTGGATGGCACATTCTTTGACTCCAGGTAAAAACCCTTGATTTGAACAGATTTTTTTTTAAAGTGATATACAGTGCACTTATGCTTACATTTGTGTTTATGTTTCAGTTACTCAAGGAATCGCACATATGACACTTACATCGGTAAAGGCTATGTGATCGCAGGAATGGACCAAGGACTCCTGGGTGTGTGTGTTGGAGAGCGCAGGAGGATTGTTATCCCACCTCACCTGGCATATGGAGAAGAGGGCACAGGTGTGTGCTGATCAGTCCTTTTACTTCAAAACAACACGAGGTTAACTTATCATTGTATTAATCTCTTCTATCTCCTCATACAGGAACTAAGATCCCTGGCTCAGCTGTGCTGGTGTTTGATGTCCACATTATTGATTTCCATAACCCATCTGATATAGTTGAGATCACCAGTGTGAAGCCAGAGAAATGCATCTACAATGCAAAACGTGGTGACTTTGTCAAATACCACTACAATGCCACTCTCATGGATGGCACTTACATCGGCTCCACGTGCGTTGCAATTATACATTTGTGTATCATGTTGTTTTGGCATGTTGTCTAACTTAACATTACAAATATTTGATTATGTTATTGCTAAGAAATGGGAATCAAAATGAATGGTTTATATTTTAAAAATTGTTTATAACTAATTTGTGTTTTCCACTGCGTCTGTGTGTAACTGCAGGCAAACCTTTGGTAAGACATACGATGTGGTTCTGGGGGCTGGACAGGTGGTCATAGGCATGGAACAAGGGCTTATAGGAATGTGTGTCGGAGAGAAGCGCAGGCTAGTCATTCCACCTCACCTTGGCTATGGAGAGAGGGGAGTAGGTAAGACATCCTCTCACAGACACACACATTTTAAATATATATCAATACATTGAGATATATTTTACTAAAAGTAATGGATTTTACTAAAAGTGAACAGTGAATCTAACTGATTCAGTGTTCATTTTAAGTTCAGTTAGTGAAGGACTCATCTGACTGATTCAAAATGGTTGAAGGGTTAGTTCACCCAAAAATGAAAATTAGTCCATAAATTACTCACCCTCAAGGCATCCTAGGTGTATATGACTTTCTTCTTTCAGACGAATCCAGTCGGAGTTATTTAAAAAATTGTCTTTGATCTTTCAAGCTGTTTAATGGCACTCAGCGGGTGTTGCAGTTCATCAGTCCAAAAGAAGTGAAATAAAAAGCACCCATTCATAAAAAAAAGTGTCTCACACGGCTCCGGCGGGTGAACAAAGGCCTTCTGTAGCGAATCGATGCGTTTTTGTAAGAAAAATATCCATATTCAAAACATAATAATCACTTTAATGTAGCTTGCGCCAACAGTTGTACATGGAAGCAGCTCCGGGCTGATGATGTATGAGTTCAGTGTTGCGCATGCGCCGGTGAGTCTCGTGAAAACCAACATTTGTTAACAGGAGCAAAGGAAGCAAAGTTTCCTTACTTTAGCAAAGGAAAACCAGTCTTCTCTTGGCTTATATCGAAATCCTCCAACATCCTTCTTTACAAATCCTCATTTTGTACTTCTAATTAGTGACCGTTGTTTTGTTTTGATCTCTTCCCTGCGCTTCCGCGTTCGTCACTTCTGAGCGGCGCATGCGCAACGGCGTCCTCATTCGTCATCAGCCCGGAGCTGCTTCCGTGTACAACAGTGAGCGCAAGCTACATTAAAGTGATTATTAAGTTTTGAATATCGTTTGTGATACACCCACCACAGGGAGCCAGAGTAAATTCTTCTAAAAACTACTTGGCTAAACAAACGATTTTGGTGCTGATATATTGATTTTCAGGGAGGTTTTTTGCTCACCACAGAGTAGTATACTACTCTTACTATTTTTCCATGTCTTTCTATGGCAGTAATGGTAAGAGTATTATGCTAGTATAGGGTTCCCAATTCAGCATTTGTCTTATCAAACAGCATCAGCTGTCATTTAGTCAGTGAATAAATGTTATTTTAATGTTTCAATTATGTAACAAAGAGGGATGTACAGATGGTCCACAAAACAGCAACTCTACACCAGTTTGTATAAATATAGTTCAAACCTCTATATTTCCAACAAAAAAGAGATTAAGTACTATTTCTTGCTCAGATGGTGAGGTCCCTGGCAGTGCTGTGCTGGTGTTTGATGTTGAGTTGGTGGACCTGGAGGAAGGTCTTCCTGAAGGCTACATGTTTGTGTGGAACAGCGATGTCACACCCAATCTTTTCAGTGAGATGGACAAGAACAAAGATGCACAAGTGGACACTACTGAGGTATATTGTTTTATACCACGAGTGCTTGCTTAGCAATACATCTCCAAAATGTTTATTAAGCTAATTGCGCCACTGTCTGTCTCTTTACAGTTTTCAGATTACATCCTGCAGCAGGTAAAAGAGGGCAAAGGTCGTTTGGCACCCGGTTTTGACCCGCAACGCATCATACAGAACATGTACGATAACCAGGACCGCAACAAGGATGGACAAATCACAGAGGATGAGTTTAAACTCAAGGCAGATGAAGCAGCCTCTCATGATGAGTTATGAGGCTGGACTCAGGGATGAAGGGTTGTGATTGGTTGTGTCTTGTGGTTGAATATTATAAATGGGAAGGGTATAAAGATGCTGAATTTGTCAGTGAAGTGTCACTCAGTGATGTTGTTTACTTTAGATGTTTGTCTGAGAGGTGTGTGCATGTATGAGTGTGCATAATTGTGTTTATATATGATTTTTTTTTGTACGGGTCTTTGAATGTTTGTAGGAGTCTGGAGTGATACAAATGTGCAAAACATTACTTTGTAAAAAAAATCCCTTAAATAAACACATTCCAACCCCCAAAGTATTATTTCACTATTTTACTAAATCACAATTTTATTAGAACCTGGAAAACTTGCTTTTCACAAATCATGCTCATAGTACTATGACTGATGATAAAAACTCGTAGCTTCCTCTTAAAAGTGAACAGCTGCAAAACAACGGGTGTTACATAATTTAAGGTTTTAGCTTGTGGATTGACAAACTGAAATGCAATATGCTGATATTGATGAACTTTTGAACTTTAAATGTTTTCTTCATGATTGAGTATGTCCATTCTGACATGTTCCTGATAATGTTCTTTCAGACTTAGCAAATAGGAATAGCACTAAAACAGTCACTACATGGCTCAATGAACAATGCATGTATATCCTATAACATGAGTGTCTGTGTCTGCCTGGTGTTTTTATAATCCTTTGAATGTGTGTCAGTGTGTGTTTAGTTGGTGTGGGATGATAGAGACTCCAAACTGGAACTGACTGTAACAGACATAAGCAAAATGCATACACAAATTAAACTTAAAAAAAAAAAAAGTAAATTGAGAACAAAATACATAAGCATTGCTGTCCCCAATTTCAAAGTTAAAGGGATAGTTCACCCAAAAATTAAAATTTGATGTTTATCTGCTTACCCCCAGGGCATCCAAGATGTAGGTTACTTTGCTTCTTCAGTAGAACACAAACAAAGATTTTTAACTCAAACCGTTGCAGTCTATCAGTCTTATAACAGCAGTCAATGGGCTCCACCTTTGAGAGTAAAAAAAACATACATAGACAAAACCAAATTAAACCCTGCGATTCGTGACGATACATTGAGGTCTTAAGACACGAAACGATCGGTCTGTGCAAGAAACTGAAAAGTATTTATATCATTTTTTACCTCTGATCCACCGCAATGTCCAACTGTCCTGAGCACGTTTGGCAAGGCCAGTTGTTCAGATACACACATCCCTGAAAACCTTTTGTATTATGTGTGTGTGTGTGTTTCTGTAGATCGACTCAGAGGGGGACATGGACTCTGGCAGCACTGAACTTGACTATACTAGGTTTGGGTCAGTTAGCAGCTTGACCTCCCATCATATGGTAAGATACACTCTCAAGCACAACACTTGATCTTCTGCACCAACAAAGTTTTGAAGGTGTAAACGGTCCAGTTTCTGTGTTGGTAGATGAATGGCAGTTTGATGAGCCTGTACAGTGTGGGCGATTTCGGGGATGTTGTAGTATCAGGGCGGATCCAGTTCTTGTTGCAGTATGATGTCAAGAAAGAGGAGCTTCATGTGCACATAATACGCTGCCAAGAGCTTGCGTCGGCCTGTAAAAATCGATCAGACCCGTAAGTATACTTGACCGTGGTCATTTTCTTTCAGTCATAACTATCAACTATTTATGAAAGCAGTCATGCTACATTTAATATTATTATCAATGTTGAAAACAACAGTGGTACTTAATATTTCTGTGGAAACGTTGATAAAGTTTTTTCAGGATTCTTTTGATTAATAGAAAGTTCAAAAGAACAGCATTTATATGAAATAGAAATATTTTGTAACATTATAAATATGTCTGTATGCTTCTCTTAAACATAGATATGTTAAAGTTTACCTTCTCCCTGACAACACATCACGCAGTAAGAAAAAAACTGCAGTGACGAGGAAAACATTAAATCCAGTCTACGATGAAACCATGAAAGTCAGTTGTAATTAATTTATTATTTCACAAATTATTTCTAAGCATTTAAAATACATTATCAAACTTACAGTACTAATTATTTCTCCACTCAACTTTAAAATGTTGCCTGTACCAGTATAAAGTGCGGAAACTGGACCTCCAGGCTCGTGTGCTGAGTATGTCAGTCTGGCACATGGAGAGAATGAGGAGAAACCTCTTCCTGGGGGAGGTGGAAGTGAGGCTGGGTCAGTGGGACTGGAACCAGAGCCAACCAACCTGGCACAACCTCCAGCCAAGAGTAAGCCCATCTCAGAGCTTATCTGATATCTGTAGTGAACTAAACCTGTGATAGTCAGATTCTCATCATGACAATCTTTATCTTAATGTATTATAGGTTAGATTAAGTCCAGATGACATTATCAGCAGAGGAACCATTCTGTTCTCAATTAAGTTTGTACCTCCAGGTTCAGAGGGTGAGTCTGAACAGACACTTCATATTTACAATCTCTATATCTGCATTTATATGCAGGACCATTGATAAATTACATGTGGCTCATTATCAATTTATTATGTGCAGGCCCACTCTCCCCTCAATAAAAGGCTAAATTGTAGAGCAGGGCAAATAGTAGTAGAGCAACTTTTTTATCAAGTATCTCCATTGTTATCAAATATTTTCTTGAACTACCCCCTGAAATTTTATGTTGATATTTTAATAATTTAACAACACATTTGCAAGTAATTCAGGTAAACAAATAAAATATGTAATCTTTTTAGTATGTGTTTTATTTCAGTTTGCGATTTGATCTCATAAGCATCTTAAATTATGTTGCTGAAAACAGGCAAAAAGAATGTTTTTATATTATCATTCTTAATTGTTTTTATATTATTATTGTTGTTGGTAACTCTAAATATAAAAAATTAAAGACATAATTATATTACTGCTTAATATATAGTAAAATATATAAAAAATTTTATTAAAAGGAATAAAACTTAATATTTGAAAATTATTTAAAATACATTTGAATTACAATACAAGTTACAAATTACCAGTTGCAATACTAATGTTCATTTAATTGTTCATTTTAAAACGTGAAACCCTCAAGCTTTCATTTTGGTTGAAAATAATTCTTTGCTCTTTTGATTTATAAATGATTCTCGTTACAAATCTGATAAAATGCTGAAAACTGTTCACAAAAATGTTAATGTATCCGACTAAAATTCAGTCTTTAGTGAGTTCACTAAGCCATATTGTGATTTCAATTTCATTTTGATTAGTTGTGCAGCCCTATTTATTTATTTATTTAAATTTTTTGTGGCTATAGGAAGTGGTTGTCCACCGACTGGTGAGCTCTATATTTGGTTGAGGAAGATTGTTGGTCTACTTCCCACAAAACGTGGCGCACCCAGTACATATGTGAAAAGGTGTGTGTGCAAATTCATAGTAGTTTGCTGTTTGATTTTTGTTGTTGTTATTTCCTGAGCACATCAGTGTGGTTTGTATATGTACAGTGTGGTATTACCAGATGAAAGTGGCATCAGTGGCCAGCAGACTAGGGTGATGCGAGGATCTGTCAACCCAGTGTTTAACCACACCATGGTTTATGACAGGTTTCAGTCCAGCGACCTTATTCAGGCCTGTGCAGAGATAACTGTCTGGAGTCCACAACCCCCTGGCTGTCTGGGTGGAGTACGACTCAGCACTGGCTCAGGTAACACAGATTTGAAGATAATATACTTGATATATAACTTAATATAGCTGGGAGGTAAGACTGTGTTCATATGTTGCAGGTGTGCGTTACGGTCAGTCTGTCTGCTGGATGGACTCAACAGAAGATGAGATCAGTGTGTGGTCAAGTGTGATTCAGAGCCCCAACAGCTGGGTGGACACTAGTCTACCTGTCAGAACCAACTTACAGCTCTGTTCTGAGTGAACTTTGTTTAACCTATGCATAGTTACCCTGTGACTTTGGTTGTGTAAAATTCTGTAATACACTACACAACTTTTTCCTAGATTTTTTCACCCAGTTTGCAGTCTGGACGGGTTGAAGCTAGTTGGCAAAAGTCAGAGCCAGTCTGCAAATTGTGGACTGTTGGAGTTGACACATTTCACAGAACATTGCATAGTATGTGATGGGCACAAACTCTGACTTTTAGGCTACGTTTACACTAGTGCATTTTCATTTTAAAACGCATAACTTTTGCT